CCAGACCAGTAATCATTCATCTTGCTATCTCAGTCACTGCATCCCAGAAAAGGCTTACCAATCTCTCAGATTTTCTTAAAAGATGTTATCTGCAAAGATGTTTATTTTAAAAGTTTTGTAACAGAGCAACTGGATTCCAACTACATAGAACTGTTCAAGATACTTGTGATCAATCATTATGAGTTTAATTAAATTATCTGTTTTCCTCAGTTGCCATTCTGACCAACCTTTAAGCCAGAAGGAGGAAGACAAAGGTGGTGCCAGTCAAAAAAAAATTAATTGTGGCCTTGTTTACCACCTGGTACCTTTGAGACAGCTAACAAAAGGACATGCACAACTGTAGTGAAATGCTATTGAGATGAGATGCTCAGACTTCAGGGGCAAGAGGCATATAAAGAAAGCCTGAAGGAAGAGTCTTTTCCCTTTAGTACCTGCAAGGATTCAGTGTCCCACAGTCCAGAAGACACCATTCCTCTACCATAAAATTCAGACAAAATTTCACACAGGAGAGTTTCTGGGAATTATCAAGAACTGGAGGTAGCAGCAAAAATAAGGAATTATTTTGAATGGGGGTGAGGGACTATCCTTAATCTAATTGTTCCTTTTCTATTTCATAAGTTTCTCATCAGTATTTCATTTTAAGAGCAACAGTGTTCTGCAGTCATGAAGGCAGCTAGCTGATCCAAAACAAGTTCAAACACTGGATTTAAAGGTATCATAATTAATGATTTATCAAGCTTCTGAGTCTTCAAAGCACACAGTTAGATTGTCTCTCTGAACTGAAATATGATAACCATAGCCAGCGGGGCTAAGCTACAGCTTTTGGAAGCCAAATACATAAAAGACATACGTGATTTTCAGCAAGTCCAGGAGAGCTCATATCCACCCACTGTCAATGAATCAGTGATGAACTGATTGATTACGTGGCCGGCATCTCACACTGGCCAGAGGCAAAGCCTATTTGCCTAGCTAACCCCATCTCATGGGAACCAACTGGCTTTAAACAAAGTCATACGAAAACTTCTAACCATGGAAGTTGTGGTACAGCTGACTGGAAAGCATCCCTACTGCTGCCAAGCAGAGCAAGAACTGTTCCTGGTACCTCCCCTTCCCCTCACTTCTCTGAACTTACTCAGAGGCTGCTGTTTTGTGTTTCTGTATTTGTCTTCTTGGCTGGGACAACAAGAAAATGTCATATTTGATGAATTAATGAAGTTTTAATGATTACAAATCAATAAGTGTCTGCATACTGGGAATGCACAGCTCCCCTGCACTACATCTAGCAAGGCTCAGGCCATCACTGCTAACTCCTCCCAGGGCTGGTGCTCATGCTGGTGCCTTGCCCACCCACCCTGCATACAAACTGTACACATGCTGACAAAAGGCCCCCCACCTTTGATTCTGGGCATTTTTTTTTTTTTTTTGAGTGTACAGCACTGGATTTAAGTTTCCTCTGGGTTTAATTACTTTTCCTACTTCCTGTTTGCACGTTTTGTCTTATTTTTTAAGAATGCAAAAGTTTCAAGGGCAAGAGAGGAAAAATGCTTTTGAAACTCTGACTGCTCTCAGTCCTAGTAATTCCCTGCTTTCCCTTACAAATGCCTCTGGAGATTTGTAGCAATAGCGGAAATGAGCTCAAAGACCTTCTCTTTCAACCACAAATGACCAACCATCATTCTTAACTCTCCAGCTGCAGACTGCACACACTGACACTCTTTGTGATCCCCAATGGTCTGAATAAACCTTGGGTTTAGATATTATTCAGCCAATTAAGAGTTTCATAATTCTACCTCACCACAACTGCTGGTCCCACATACCAGTACAAATAGATATTGGGTGTGCACAGTTTCAATTCTGCTGCTGTGGCATGCATTTGTTAGCCCACAGGCTCTCATTCATTTTGGGGGGCACGAGACTCTTTGTCTTTCATTACTCAAGCAGCCAACTACTTTTTTGCCCCCAGGGTGTGTAACATGCAGCTGAGGATCCAGCAAAGCTGAACACTGAGAGGGTTGTGCTGAGAAAGGAAATTGAAAACCAGGATTAGATTTCAGCTGAATCAAGTGGCTGTGTTGTGACAGTGGTTTCTCAAAATACTTCCTAAATTTCTCTCTCCCATCCGCACCATGGCTTATTGTTAGCATATTTTGACATGCTAGTTGCTTTCTACCTCTTTGAAAAAAAGAAATGGGAAAACATCCAAAGAGTCCAAATTTCAGTCTGACTTTCTCCCTCCTCCAAATTTTTCAGAGGAAGATTGCCAGACAGCAAGAGAAATTTGGGAGACTCCATACTGCTCAGCACAGCATACTTTTACACAAAAACTAGGCACAGGCTTATTTCTTAGAGCACCAGCAACTCTGCTAATGCAAAAGAAATGGCATTGTAATGAACGTGCCCCATTTTTCAAAGGTCTTGTTCTGGAATGTAGGCCAAATTGAGAACCTGGCAAATGGATGCGTTTGACTGCTTGGTTATTCCCCAACTCCACTCCCCTGCTTCCATCTTGGGTCTTATAAACACAAAACTTCAAGAGAGTGTAAAATTACAGATGGGTCCAGCAGTGGTTTCTCTGCTCTCAGAGGTTTTTTCTCCTATTTTAAGTTTACCTTATGCTAGAGCAGAAAACATGGCTCACAGTCGAAATGGTGCATTTATTTCTGCCCAAGTCTTTATTTGGCTAAGACAACAAATTACTCTCCCACTCACATGTCAACAGTTCAAAGTTAATTGTCCCTGTTTTGTTCTGGCCCTGTCCCTGCCCTGCCTTGAACCTGACAGTATCAATTCCAAACCAAAAATATGTGACATTTGCCATCAGGAAAGTGCATGTGTATCAGACAGAAACATACTAACTACAGCATTAGATCAGAGTCTATCCTTAACATATGTGTCCAAGGTCTAGCAAGGATGACCCAGCCCAGCTCTGAGACACACACGCACTGGTGGCATTTCTGTGTGCACACCTACGCACTTAACCATGCGCTGCAGACCATGATCCACACAGGGCCAGCATGGCTTTACTTCATCAGAAGCAATCAGGAAACAAAACTACCCTGGATGGTGTTGCTGCCATTTTGCTTTGTGGCAGTAGCTGTTCTCAGACAGTACCCATGTAAAACCTCCCTGCCCGATCTCACACCTTTGACCACCTCCCTCTTAGGGCACTTGCTGAGCTTCTCACCTCCTTCATCTGCTCCCTACTTTCAAGATGCCCACAGTACTCTCCAATGAAGACAGAAAAACATCTTAAGTCAGTAGGTTTGGGTTTAAATGGTTTTTGAGGACCCTGAAAAGTACAATAGCATTTGCCTAGAGTCACAGTGCCTCATCCCAGAACTGAGGACCATCCTGCTCATAGAAGTGTGGGTCCCTCACAGCCTCAGCTATTGCAATGATCAAGGACACACTAAGTAGGTGTTCCTTTGCCTTCAGAAACGTCCCCTGTTTTTTCAAAGGTTATTGACAGATTTGGCACTAGAAAAGTGTAAGAAAACGTTCTCATTTTCCTTTGCATTAAACAAGTAGGATGCAGAAGCAAGACAAGCGGGTATTGCATTAATACAAACTAAGTAGCAATCCTAACGTCCAAGCTTCATTCTCTCACAAATCTCTAACTCCCAGATGTACTCTTTTTACCCCGAAAGACCCAAAAGCATTGGAAATGCATCGTTTTCCAAATGAGGGTACTGATGGGGAACCTCCCTGCACGGGGGACGAGAGACCTCTGGTGGCAGCCGAGTGGCTGGCCCAGATGGCAGCCAGGCTCCCACAAATGCCAGCGGCAATGAAAACGAGATCCAAATTTATCTCTCTCATTAGAGGAACCTAACTCGTTTAATACATGAGGCATTAGTGTATAACCCAATATTGCAACCTAGTTTATCATCCTGGTCTCCAGCTATGAACACAAGGCATCTAAAAATAACACAGTGAACTCTCAGTAATATTTTATTAAATGCTGTCAAATCTAATGCAGCCTGCCTAACCACGGTGTCACAAAAATAATAGCTGCTGGAAACAGCTCACCTAGCTTCAGTTTGAACCTGGTCCAATAAAGAGTCACATTGTCCCCATAAGCCCAAGACCAGGGTTCTTAGCATGGAAAGCTCTGTTGGATCTGTGAGCCTGCCTTGCGCTTTACGTTAGGTGGCATTGCTCCAATTTTGCAACTGAAGGCAGAGTTAAACTAACAAACATCTCTTCCTTACACAGTGGCTCCACCTACTTTAAGAACCCCGCTAGCAATGATTTCTAGATTTCTGAAGTGGACTCAGAAGCCACCAAATGCTGCCCTGTGACTGCCAACAACCCTTCAGATAGCTGGCCAATATGCACAACTAGCAAGGATCCAACAACCTGTTCACACCTCTCCTGCACACCTCCGTCAAACAGTGGGACACATCCTGCTTTTATTTAGCTGGTCTAACACACACTGTGGCGATTTCTGTCTCCTGTCTTTTTTTAAAACTATTGAATTATTTCAAGCACTCTAGTCTACAGTTTCTTCAAAATGGATATATTCTGTCACAACGCTGAAAAAAATATGTATAGGCACTGTATCCATCTGCTGATTTGTTGACTTAAAAGAGCCCACTCCAGAGACAGCCACAAAACCACTTGCTTTCAAAAAAGGGGTTACTAGTTTAGAGTCACCTTAAAAAGACAAGCACAGCCTCCAGCTGCTAGTCATCCAGTCTGCAAGGTGGCATGAATATTTCTTCCAAAATTAAGTTTAATTTTTAATCCTTAGATCAATTTCTCTAAGTCTCTTTTAGAGAAACCCTCCCAACCCTACAGATCACATTTATTTGTAGGAAAAGCACCACAATTTGTTCTTCTGGAGAAAACAAAGTGCTAAATACACATGAGGATCGCTGCTTTCTGCAGAAGGACACAAACACCATTTGGAAATACCTTTTCCCATCAAGAGCACTGCTAATATCTGCTGTGTCCAATACACAATATAGCTGAGTTCCACCTCTAACATGCACAGTCACTCATTCAACGGTACCTACAAGAGACTCATCTGCTTGCAGGTTCATTTGAGACACTGCTACTCCCCTAGAAGTCCCTCTTTCATGATTAGCCCAGAATTCAGCTTTCATTTATCCAAAATCCTAGAAAGGAACCCAATAGAAAGCAACAAATAGGAAAATGGGCCCTAACTGGTAAGCTGTACTCACCGGTGTGCTGCTGTCAGAAAAGGTGTTCATGCTGATGGACCTGCTCATCTTGTCCGAGGAGAGGGACGGTGGGGAGGGACTGCGCTTGTCCAGTGGCTCGTGGTGTGGCAGGTCCTGGCGCTGCAGGTACTCACGCCATGCTCGCTGGATACTACGGCAAAGACCAAGGCACAGGATTGGGGGGGGGAAATGCAGCAGCAAAAAAAGATATATTTATTCTTGACTGAAGAGGTAGGGTTTGGTGGTTTTCTCTTTTTTGGTGCACTCTGTTTTCTGATTTGGATAATGATCACACATAACTACCCGCTGTAGACCTTATATTAGCCACTACTAGTATAACTTGAGATATCTGTTAGGTAGAAGCAATTCTCTACTTCAAATCCTTAAACTTACAGTGATTTAAGTTTGAGATGGTACAGAACTCAGTGATTCTCTTACGACAGGTTATGGTTGGCCTCGATGATCTTAAAGGTCTTTTCCAACCAAATGATTCTGTGATTGTATGATTGTATGATTGTGATTTCGCAAATAAAGAAAAAAATGCAATTATCTGTTTAAAAGAATAAACAGCCTTCAAAAACTTATATCTGCTTTCAGATTATAATGTAGATATGGTTGGAAGTTCAGAGCCAGACCAGTATCCTTTAAAATCTCCTCCATCCTGGGTAGCTGGGGACTTAAATCCTCCTCCAAAGCAATGCCTGGGGATTACAGTAGGAGATCTGCTTTCAAAAATCTAAACTTTGACCAAGTTTCTAAAATACAATGTGAAATTCTGTAAAGAAATTCCATTTTCTGTGCTGGCCAGTGGCCAGAGAGCTGGAGGCCAGGGCGGCTCTCACCAGGTGGCAGTGCCGGACCGCCTGTGCCTTTCTGAAGGTGCCAGGGAGACCAGTGAGAGATGCTGAGAATTAAAACTGTGTTTACAATAGTAATGGCATTAACACAAAGTACGTGGGGAGTTGCATACAGGATGATCTGTGAACTCTGCAGAAAAGCAGAACTAAATTCTGCCCTGAGACTCAGCAGTGTTGCTGCAGTGCAATGAGACAGAAAGAACTCATTTTAGGATTTTTAAGCACTTGAGAGTTTATTCACAAGGATATCGAGTCAGTAAAACCTTCGGTGTGTCTGTTAATCAGGTAGAGTACCCTGACCTTTGCTTAAGCTGTTCCCAGTGGTGCAGAGCTCTTGTGCTGCTCTCCCCAGGCAGCTGCGCATGGAGCAGGCAAGAGCCAGCGCTCCTCCACCCTGCCTGCACCCAAAGGGCTTGGCACGCTCAGCACCCAGCCTTGCCGCTGGGGTGCTCCCCAGGAGGGGTCCCACACCCAAACCCTGCCTGGCCCTGCTCCCACCAGCAGTGCCTGCACCCTTGAAGGTCCCCCCTGAAGGGACCTTGCCCTGTGCCTTATGGTTCAAACACCAAAGGGTCCAAAGACTTTGGTGTGGATTTACTTTGTCCTAGGAATACTTTTTTTTACATTGCCTTTTTTAGAGTTAAGATGTCATTTCTGGTCCCACCTCCATAAGCCAGAAAAACATTTAGCACCTAGACAGTGCTGAAAAGATGTTTGATTACAGACTGGCACGTCCAACTTCTTGGCTCTGCAGGAGGAGGAAGCAGCTCAACACCAGGACACTTACAACTTCTCATTGACCGCCCACACTGCTGGGAACTCCAGACAGTGGAAAGCACCTCTTGACATGTAATTTTTCCTGATGAGGAGCAATGGTCCCAACGCACACGGCATTTTGAACATCTCAGGGTTGAGGAAATCAAATATACATATTTTGTTCTTTTTTTTTTTTTTTTAGAAGAATACCAGATCAGAAACAAAACAGCATTCATTACAGCCTCACCAAGGATGGGTGCACTTTAGGGCTAGTCGGGTAGGTTAAGTCCTGTGTTGTTTTCATACAGGAGCTTTAAAATGGACAGCAAAGCTCCCAAATGTGAGTGCCAATGGAGGAGCTTTCAGTAAATGCATTTAGCTTTAAAAAAATCCCCACATTTTCACTCCTCAAGCATTTACACTTCACATTGTTTCAGTTTCAAGCTGTACTGCATAATATATACAAGTAGTATTTACATATTTATATTTACATGTACTTTCTAATTTAAAGCTCGAGAATGTACCAAGGTGAAGTCACAACTACCCTTCTAGAAAGCTCTCTGAAAATTTATTCTTTCATCTGTCTTATATTTGCATGACTAAAAGACTCTGGCTGGATTTTAATTTGAAACTTCATGTCCTTTTAATATTTTAATATAGCATTAATATTTTAATGTCCTGTATAGCAAGTCAGCTGTAGCTTTTCAACTGAATGTGAAATTCAGTATGTAATGTAGCAACGCATAGAAGTCTGTGTAAAGCTGTGCCTGACATTGCAAAATTTTGCCATGAAGTAGTTGGGGGCTTCAGCATAAAGATGATACAAGTGGAGCCGTGTTAAACTTTTGCTGCCTGCTGGGAAGTCTGGTGGCATCATGTTAGTGCAGATTTGGTGCCAGCTGGACGGAGGTAATGCCTGCACCAGGGCTGGGGGAACAACGCTGGAACAGGCACAAAGAGGAGCCCTCTGCTCTGATAGACAGGGGGTTAAGATTTCTGTTATATCCCCATGTTACCACGCATCCCAATACAGCACATCAAGCCTTTTAGAATAACTATGCAACACGTGAGAATTATATTACAAAGGCTAAAATTATTGCGTTTGGAAGTTGGGGAGTTCATTGCCAGAACACAGTGATGCTTATCCCTTCCTTCCAGGTGGTGCAGCTAGGTGTCATCTATGTGCCTTGGCTGAGTGCTAGCAACTGCCTCACTTGCCACTAAACCCCAGCTTTTTTAGAGCCGTGTAGCTGTGCTGCATCCCCCACCCCAGGAACCCTGGTCCCTTCAGACTTAGATCTCCATCCCCCTGCAAACCCAAGGACTGCTCCTTGCAGAGGCGTCCCGTGAGCCTCCTGAGGAGCTTTAACTAAGCTTCACATTAAATGTGAAAAATACCTCTGAAGAGAACTTCTGCTTGCTCTGCACTACACGTCCCCCCACCAGGATGTACTCTGTATATATGAAAAATCTAACAGATTTTCAAACATTCTATAGTTTGTCATTTCCTCTGTGAAAATTCAGTGTTGCACTGAAGTTTAACATTTGAAACTCAATTAAATGAGAATGTTCCTGTCCTTAAAGGTAGAGAAGAGCTTAGCTGCCTTGTGAAATGGAGGGGGTTTTATACTTAAAGTTACGCAGAAATCCACGATGGATACAGTCTGGGTTCTGTGGTTCAGGAATTGGACAAACTCAGGCGCATTTAAAGGCAGAAAAGACATTCTTTGTTACTTACATTTTCACTTTTGATTCCAAGGGCTGTAAGTTGATATGATATTTTTCAATATTGTTTTCTTCGTCCATGGCAAGCTGATGGCTACGGAAAAGAAAAAAAAAAGGGGGGGTGGGGGGTTAATGTGTCTCAGCATGACGTTCTTGCAATCACTATGAATTAATTCAGAAATTTTGACAGGAACATACAAGAGCTGCTCATTATAAGGTATCACTGTCTTTGGAGGAAGGCATCTGTGTCCCTGTTTCCAGCCCCATTTGACTGTTAACCAAAAGTGCCTATTTGGATCTGGTTTCCAGATTGGAACCTGCCTTAGTCCTTGCACTAAACCGTCCAGATGCCACAGCTCCAGAGACAGGCACACCCAGCAAAGAAGCCGCTGCAAATAAAAAAAACACTGGCAAATATAATAGATATTCTTGCTAAATTAACTTTCATCCCTAGGGCTGCATTTGAAAAGCTGGAGAGTAAAATGGAAAGTAACGATGGTGATGCCGGTAGCAAATGAATTACATCAGCAAGAGCCATACAGGAATACGAACTAAAAATTCTTTGCAATAAATGATGACCGAGGAATTGGTGCTGCAAACCAATCGCTTTGAGAAAGCAATTTTAAAATGCTAGAAGATAAAAATCAAACATCTTGGGACACTGCTTTGGATGGGACTAGCAACATGAATGAAAGTTCTTCGCGTGAAAATTTGTAAGATTAGACCCCAACCTGTGGACTTATTTTGAGACTTTACTGGACACTTAATTACATCATTCAATCAGCAGCAGTTTTCAGAAATTATCCTCCTGTAACTAAAAATAAGAATCATTTATGGGAGAGATGCAAAATCTTGAATATTTAATATATTACCAAATGAGAAACATAGTCTACAACAAAGATTCTGTCCCTCAGAAAGGATTTGTTGCCTTATAAAAGCCATTTCACTTTATCACATGAGATATCATGGAAATCACACTTTTACCTCTGAAGCAAGTCTTTGCCATCATTGACCTGTTCCAAGGTGTGTTGGAGCCTTTTGAGTTCTTCCTACAATGAGAGAAAAAAACATTTCAATGTGCTTATGGAAAGCCCTTGGTTGACGTTTGTTGTGGTTTAACACCAGCCAGCAGCTCAGCACCACCCAGCCGCTTGCTCAGTCCCCCTGAGTGGGATGGGGGAGAGAATAAGAAAAGTGAGAAAACTCATGGGTTGAGATAAAGACACTTTAATAGGTAAAGGAAAAGCTGCACATGCAAGCAAAACAAAACAAGGAATTAATTCCCTCCTTCCCATGGGCAGGCAAGCATTCAGCCGTCCCCAGGAAAGCAGGGCTCTATCGCGTAATGGTTACTTGGGAAGACAACTGCCATCACTCCAAACGTCCCCCCCTTCCTCCTTCTTCTGCCAGCTGTATATGTTGAGCATAACATCATATGGTGTGGAATATTCCTTCTCGTCAGCTGGGCCATGCCCCTTCCCAGCTTCTTGTGCCCACCCAGCCTCCTAGCTGGTGGGGCGAGAAGCAGAAAAGGCCTTGGCTCTGTGTAAGCCCTGCTCAGCAGTAACAGAAACATCCCTGGGTTATCAGTGCTGTTTCCAGCACAAATCCAAACTGTAGCCCCATCCTATCTACCATGAAGAAAATTAATTCTACCCCAGCCAAAACCAGCACAACACTGGAGATTCCCCCTCAACCTTAAGATGCTGTGAGCCAACCACTAAACAAAAAGGTCCCTCAGGGGAATGTCTAGAGGGTTGCTTTCAAATTTAGGTATCCAAAATAAAGAAACTGATATATTTATCAATATGTCCAGCACATAAGTTTGAAAGAAAATATCAGAACTACAAAAATAATAGGCAGAGTAAAAGAGGAAAGTATTCTTTCATGTCTTAGGTGTGTAGCTGTTTTGATTTCAGGGAAGATGGTCTTGGTAAAAGGCAAGTGAGCATCAGCTTGTACTTTCAGGCACTTCTCTTTGTTCTGCAATCAAACAGTATTCAGTCTCATAATCAAGAGAGTCACTGGCTGAGATTTACAGCCCAATGCCTTTACCATGGTATTTGCATCAGATCCTGTTTCAATAGCAGAGATGTCACGAATTTAACTGCAGATGCATAGCTGGGGTTCCCTGCATCCATGCTAATGTCCCAGGAAAATTCTACTCATGATGTTCAGCAGATACATGGCTTAAAAAGCTAAATTGTATCTGGCTGGCAGGGTTTTACTGTTCAGAAGGGGTGGAAGTTGAGGGGTGGAGGAGAACCTGGTCAGAACGAAGCGTGTGCTCCAGGAGATGCAATTTCTGGGCTGAACCTTCCACCCCCTCGCAGGGTACAATCCCCACAGCGTGCCCTGGCGTTGCTGGGACACACACATGCAGAGGACACAGTCTCCTTAAAAGCTGGGCTGACAAGCGAATGCTGAACCCCCCTGACTGCATCCCTATGATGCAATGCGAAGAGCATCACCATCCCGAGATGCAGGGACCTGCCTTCAGGTTTGTGTTTATACATCAACTGTTTGATAGTTAAACAACACTGGAAAATGGGAAGTCTATGCAAAACACAAAGATGTTAACTCATGACTTCTTTTAGCTCATTAAGTTGGGAATCAAATCTAAAAGCAAAAGCTACTCAGAGTAAGGAAGGAGAGTAATTTACTTCATACCCACCTTGCATACAGATACAGGATTCCCAGGAAGGCTAAGAACGTTAAAAAGGCAAAACAAGGATATTTTCATCTTGTATATCTTATCTGACCTGGGGATGAATCAAAGATTTTTATTTCCAATAAGACTGTTGCAGTCTTCATGAGCACAACTGATCAGTCAGCTCTACCTTCTGCTTTCCCAAATAAAGCTGATTTTGTGAAACAGAGAAATTTTACGTGGCGCTTTTTAATCCTGTACAAGATTCTACCCTGTTTGACATGAAACAAGATCACAGTTGGTAGCTGATTTACTCCTAATACAGCTTTCATTTCTTCCCAGCCTTGGAAGGACTATTACTGCAAAATATGTTTTATGCATAAACTAGATTTGTCAAGACGATAAGTTAGATGTTTGCCCAGTCTTTGCCCCTCTGGGTCTTTAATTGTAGCACCATTTTGTGGACACACTGCAGCTGATAAAGCACTGTGAGTGATTTGGGATGCTTGACTGCTGCCTACCACTCATCAGCCATTGGAAATAATCCAGTCATGAAACTTTTTATTTTTGTCTTCCTTTTTTTTTTTTTCCTCTCTGTTCTAAGAAACACCCTCTTCTGGCATATTAATAACAAGCAACTTTCAAAATTGTTTTCTTTGAAGCACAGTTCAGGAGATAACCTTTCTCTTCTCCCATATTATTCCGCTGGTCATTTTTTCAGCATATCCCAGAGCTATGTACGGTAATTTAGAGTGGGAAAACAATTTGCAATTGACTTTATATATAGCTCTGGGTGACAAAACCTGCATGACTTACATAAATCATTTCTTGTGTTTGACATCATTTTCTATTAACCTCAGGGTGAACACTGAACAAAAAAAAAAGTAAGAGCCAAAATTGGTTATGACATTTTTGACTATTCAGTCTTTCAATTAAACATCACTGGACAGTCTTTATAAAAGCTGTAATATAAGGCAACTACAGAGGGGCATAACAATGTTTGCATAATTGGGAAGAGAAGGAGACATAAAATCTATACTAATTTCAGTTTTGCATCATTAACAATAAAGTATTGATTATTGCTCCTTGCAACAAGATTTATGAAGCTAGCTATGCTGCTGCGCCCGCAGAAAGCGATTCGGCTGCTTTGCCCTCAGCACAGTAACTGATGGGTGGCAGTGACAGCCGGGATGCTGCTCTTCCAACCCACAGCCTTAGGAGATGCATCTCCCAGATTACACCAGGAGTGACCCAGCTGCAAACTCGAACTTCAGAAAATTAAATTGGAAGTAATCCATACTTCTGTTGGAATACACGATGAATTATGATGCCTCTATAAACCTTGTTATAACATAAACATATTGTAAAATTTACTGCAGCTTTCATTTTCTACTTCAGTTGAATACAGACATTAACAGCAATCAGGTAGCTACAGACACATAGAGATACCTAAGGAAGAAAAAGCAATGAAACCTTGAAGTGCAAGACTGGTGTTAAGAGCAAACTAAAGTGTCTTTTTCTAGTCCTTAAAGTGTACGTTCTGTTTATGCATTAATTATTTTTCTTTTAGGAATGTACTTTTAGGAAACTGGGCTGTTGCAATGACTTAAATATTGCCAGGAAGCCCTGTAACCTTATGGGACAGAAAAGACCAAGGGCCTCAAGTCTATAGACTCTCACCAGGGAGAAGTCTGCATAAAAGAGCCATTTTAAGCTGCACTGAGCTGGTTCCCAACACTGTCTGCACACTATAAAAGCCTGCCTTGGCTTTGCTGTCAATATTCAGTTAGAGCAAAAAGATTCTGCATCCCTCTGCCTTTTCCCCTGCAAATCAGCTGTGTTTGGCTCCATGCAGCCCAAGGACAGGCTCTCTTGGTGCATGTCCAGTGCAATGATTTAGCAGCCTCACCCAGCTCCCTTTAGCAGTTTTCAGGATGTTTTATTAATGGAGGGACCCAGAGGTTGCTGTAGACTTTGGTCCTTGCTTGGATTTGCACAGAAATGTCACCTCTCATTTGACCAGCTGTGGAGATGATGGCTGCCAGCAGATATGGGATCATTGAGGCAGGCTCAGATGCAGAGGAGCAGAAATCTAAAACAATCTAAATACACTAGTCCCTAAATTAATTTTGAAGAAGTCTGTTTCAAAAAAAAAAAAACCAAACAGTTATCAGTGCAAATTCTAAGGAAAGAAAAGAAATCTGCAGATGTTAAATCATACTTAGATAGATATTTACCTCCAGTAGCAGGCAATGATTCTTTTCTATTGCTGTACCCAAAAATATCCATTCAGGTCAGTGGAGCTATTTATACCTGTGGGTTTAGACTAGCACAGAGAAATCAAGGCAGAGGCCACATATTAAAAATTAATTTTCAAAATCCTTTTTGGACATGCATGATACTGTTTGAGTATCTCTAAGAGGTCTGTCGACTGGTGCCAAATGAATATACAACGGTACTTCCCAAGAGGCTAGAGAGATGGAGATTGGAAGAGAAAGCTTCGATTTCACTAGAACTGCAGCCCAAAACCAGCAGTATAAAATAGGCTCGGTTTTCCATTTTATAATTAAGAGTGAGCATAGCAGTTATTCAAACACCCCAGCTTTAGGTAGGTCTCTATTTCATTGATGTTCTTCCACATTTTAACTGAAATTTTGTTGAATGGCAATTTTCCATTACTCAGGAAAAATTGCACTTATGTGCGTTTCTTCCTCCCCTTACTTGCAAGTGGCTTGATGAAACACCACGATGCCAGTTTGAGATCCTCCTCTTCTGGCATAGAAACGCCACAGTGGCTGGAGAAACCCTCGGCTGGAGTGGCACGGTTGCTCTTGGCCCTTTGGAGCAGGATGCTGGAAAGAGGCTAGGGCATCAGCCCTGCCCAAAAACACCTGGATGAAATATGGCAGAGCACAGCCGAGCCCAGTTGCTGCCCTGAAGGCAAACTATGTCTCACCAGCCTTCCAGTGCTATGCAGGGACAGAGTTAGGGCCAAGAGCTCTAATTTGGAACCATCAATAAAGATCACTGGAGCTTTCACAGCTGCTCTTGCCAGTGAACACGTCAGCCCATCTCAATGTTCCAGAGCTGCTGCATTTAAAGACAGACTTATGATGACTTCTCTGTAGCAGTGACACAGACATGTGCAAAACCAGTCATTCCTTTCCCAGCACAGCCTCCGAAGTGGTGGCACAGCTAGGGCAAGCACAGCTGAAGGCAGTCTGAAACCAGAAACACTGCAACGCCTGCTGCCATTAAGACCAGAAGCCCTGCAGGATCCATCCTCTGATCAAAGCCACCTGATGCCTCTTTCTGTCACCTATTAGGAAGCCAATTTATAGGCTTAAACATTCTCACCTCCTGCTGTTTTCCAATTCTGTGGTCACCAGAGGTGGATACAACATAATGAAGCTCTCTCTGCTGCTGCTCACCTCTCCCAGTCCATCGCGCTGGTCTGGGGACAACACATGCAGTGCTAAACCACCTTTAGCACCAGCTCTGATCCATGTGCCATTTGTAACCCAGCACGGAAGTATCAGCCACCCCAGCTGCTTTTGGTTACTGGAAAAAGTCCCTTGCCAATGCTGTTCTGAGCTATTACACCCAGGTCTGCTGTTACTGTATTTTTAATTCTGTTTCCCACTTAACAAAGAACCCCCCCCACCTCCTTTTTGTGTCCATGAAGCATTTTAGGATTTTATGCATTTCACATTTTTTCTTTTTTCATTTTATTCATTTTCATTTATATTTTCCCCAGTTTTCTCAGGGAAGACCATGGCCCCTGTATGAAATGATGTAGGGTCCGTATTTCAGTCTGACAAGGCCTGTCAAGCAGTGTGTTAATTAAGCCTCTTAGCAGGATACAATGAGTCTAAAGAGGATAGAAAGATCAGGGTCCTTTGCGGTGAAGGCTTTTACTTGCTACTATTTTGGGCATCCATTCATGCCGGCGTGGAAGGGCTGCTCCCATGGGAAACAGGCTTCATTACTTGAGCAGCTCCCTAAAGCTCCTGTTCCCTCTTGGTACACAACAGGGAGGTTGTCCCCAGGCAGCATCTCTGGTGGCACCTGTGTGCGCAGTATGGGGTACCTCAGAGGCACAAGGAGCCCCAGTTTGGGCAGATGTGGAACCATCTGCATTAATTCCCACTTTAGGGATGTGTAGAGTGTTCTGCATCCTATTTCGAGGATGGAACATAAAAGCTAATGCTACACCCTGAATATGCTGAGCATCCAGTAAAATTGGTAATTAAATGTCAGATGGTGACAACTGCTTCATACCTTGGAACAAAAAGAGACATTAGATAATGGCGGCTTTTGTATATTAGAGGTGGGAGGGGGAAGGTCTTATTTTATTTGCTCTGGCAACCCAACAGGGACCTTGAAGACTTCAGCTACAAACGTTCAAGAAAAGTAAGTTAACTGCATGAGATTAACATAGCTACAGGGGCTCTGAGACCCACAGCTGTCAGAACGATTTGCCAAGATCACTTTAAAAAATTGTACCATCAATGGTGTTACCTAAATCTACTTAAACATGTTTCACATTCAGGTTTAGAAACAAAATGCAAATTAATCTCACTGAAATGGGTTACTGTAGGGAGATACAGCATGGTCCTTCAGGTTGGATCCTGTATCCTGGCTTGTCACTGACCTCCATCAGCACCTTAGGTCTTTCCAGCTCCTTTCTTGCATGCATCTTGTCCATTTAGGTCACAATATCTTCAAAGAAGGGACCAGCTTCATTTTTTTCCTTGTGCATCAGGGCTCTGATCTTGATTAGTTAAACCAGAACGTGGTTATCAACTGGGAATTAACAGCAAAAAATTTCAGACCCTTCCATCACTCTTCCATCACATACTGCCTGTGTTTCCCTTCCATGGCTCACCTTCACTGCAGGGGGACCACAGCCCCTCTGCTACAAACGTTGCTTCTGGTGGGCACAGGGCGAGTGTGTGCAGGCTCTGTCCATGCACTCATCTTTCCAAAGAAGGTGTCAAACAAAACCTGAGGACTGCTCAAGGAAAGAAAGCGTCACACTGAACAGAAAATGAAGTCAAGAGTAGGAAACAAAGGGCAAGCATCACTGAAATGTTTCAGGCTGGAAAGAGGTTACCACTAATTAGAGTTCCACTGGGACGAGCGTTAAGCACCCATGGCTGTTCAGCACAAAAGAGTGTGCACTGGTGCTGCAGCAAGGTTTCTGAGGATCTAGCTGGTAAGTGGAACCCGTATGGGAACAGTAGCCATTAAGCAATTAACTCCCACAGTTTGTTGCTCGTGTTTCCATTATTCTTGATACTTAAGAGATACTTCACTCAATATGCATTTTCTTAGTTTATTGAGAATCAAGTTATGTTTGTAGAGGCCAATTGCTACAATTCTCTGAAAAGAAGGACCACATTGCTTTCCGCTGTTCTCCAGCACAGGCCAACTCTCGGGGAATTTTTTCAAAAACAAGTTTCCTCTAAGTTTACTAGCTAATATCTTTATAGAATATGGGCTAATTTTCCAGAGGTCCCCTCAGGTCCTCCTTACAATGTGACTTGGTCGACAAGTCTTTTGTGGTTTCTTACTTGCTCAGTTTGGTGTATTTAGAAATCTGTTGTGCCGTTTTTTGGTTTTTTTTTTTTAATTTCTGTTGTACCATCCTTTTTTTCCATATCCTTCACACAGTGCATATCTATAACGTTCCCACACATACAACAGTGGAGCACTTCTGGCTAAGGGCCCTCTTGTCTGAATACTCTGAAATCTCCATGCTGATTTGGACTGCTTTCAGATTGACTTCTGAGCTTTACCACAGGAGTTCAGGATGGAGCTAGGGGTGCAAGTTCGGGATCATCTGAATCAGGCTTTCCTGTAGTAACACTGTCTCACAGAAAAAAAAAAAAAAAAAAAAAAAAAATTGCAACAGAAATACTCCAACACTTCTGATAGTTTCCAGATTGCTTTCTGCTTTTTGCACCCTGTGCTGTTCACCACGTGGTGTGACCCAACACAACGACTGGCAGCCGAGTCCCTCACCCTGCTAACCCAGCAGCAGCACAGCCCCACCACCTGCCCAGGGCTGGCTTGGGTTTCAGAAGTTGGAACTCAATGTTGGTTACAGGTACATCCCTCACTCCCTTCACTGAAAACCTAACGAGGCAGAGAAGGAAAAGCTTTATTAGAGCAGCGAGTTTACTGTTCTGCCAAAGGTAAACTCCTCACTGCATCATTTCTCAGCGTTTTACTCATTACAGTTTAAAATACCCAGGGGATGCATTTGCCTCCTATTTCACAGGACACTTTCATCACTTAATAGATGAATTGGTAATATTTTAATTTTCTTCATGTAAAGTTCTCCCTTTTTATACCCTATGGTCATAATATCTAATTGTTTCTCTTCCCAGTCTTGTAAATCATAACATTGCTCTCTTCTCCCTCATCATTTAATCAGATTAGGGCTTGACACAAAACTTCATCGGCTAAGCGTAAACTCAGCATAGGGAACAAAAGCAGAAAGTCTTCATATATTTGAACTGAGCTCATGCCTAATCCCTTTGCTACAATCCTGGCTACGTAAGGGTGCCCAGGACAGCTGATATATTAATTCCTCTCATAAGTGGGTGTAAACGGCCGGAGGGGAAGTGCAGCAATGCTGGTGATATCTCCCAGGGGACGAGAGCACTCACAGGATGACCTGTTGAGCTCTTCTCCACTTTCCGTGATATCAATAAATTCTTCTTTTCCTTCTTTCAACTCTGCCCTCAGGAAGAGTAATCTATCTCACCATGGCTAGAGAACATTATTTCATAGTTACAGCAGCTCTGGAAACCTTGCACAAGGATGAGTACCATTAAAAAGCCAAGTTAGATTCCTTTTAAAAAGCCTCTCCTTTCTGATGCTGTCACTGCAGTCAGGGCTTTCAACAGCACCGCTTCTGCCTTGAAATACACAAGCTTTTAACTTTTGCCAAGGGAACCAACTAGAGAGAATGAAGCCTCTTGACATCTTGGCTTCTCTGTCGCCACAGTGCTTCTGAAACAGCCAGTCTGAACACCAAGGAAAATGTCTGGAACAACACAAGTGCTATAGGAGACTCAGCAAAGAAAGCATTTCATAGGTTATAGTTCAAGGGAAAAAGGAAAAAACAAGACAAACCACATGCTGGGATTCAAGTCCATGGCAAGAAAGGCAATTTCTCACTAAAGGCCATAAATTTTTGGAGTCAGATACGACAGCTACCTTACAAGTGGCAGCAGGCACTGAATGATTCACTTATGGGATGAGGAGATGCTATAACTCTATCTAGGATTTTAATGCCGTTTGTATGGGACCCAATGCAACAGAGCAAAAGCTGATGTAAATCACCACAGCTTCACCGAAGCAGACAACGTGTGTTACGCGTTCTCCATATACTTTGCCTTTACTACAGCAACAACCTACACCAGAGCTAGAGCTGGTCAAGGCAGCAAGCAGCATGCTGTAGAAACGCTGGTTTTTTTCAGAAGCAAGTTTCCATTTGGAATGAAACCCAACAGTTTTGACATGCCAAATGCCACCACACACACTGTTAGAGCAACCAACCTTCCCTACAAGTCCTGGATAGCAAAAGGCAGCCCCAAAATCCCAACGGGGCATGTCCAGTGCTGGAAAAGACATGGAGGCAATGGGGCCAAAGCTCACCAGGGCTGACCCCCTGTGAACACTGCACTGCAGAAAGGGCAGCAAAGCCTGACAACATGCTTCAGAAGAAATGAAGCTTTCCAACCCAGTATTGGTTCATGTGGGATGGTACTTTAATCTTCAGGAAATGGAAGTAAATGGCAACCCTACTGTTGTGTTTTGCATTATGGCACAAAAGCTGCACCTTGGAGAGAACAGCATTGGCCAAATTACATGGGGAATGGTGGGTGAATGTTTTTATGGAAGAGAGACATATCTGTCCTTAAGTGTCACCAGCAGCACAAGTTTCTTTGTCTTTACCATTACTTTACCCTTCCTCTAAAGGGCTGCAGAATTATGCCTGCTAAAAAGACACCAGTGTTTTAGTCTAATGATTACTTTACAAAGACAACAAATCTGCCCCCAACCCACTCTACTGGAAGAAACCCACAACTTCCATCTCCCTCTAAAGTTTTCATTGCAAATTACAAGTTGAGTCCAGCTTAATTTTGAGAGAAATATGATGAGATTGCAACCCAGCCGGTGTGGATTTCATCATGCCAGGAAGGGGAAGGCAGGGGGAAAATCTGACATGACAGATCCATCTTCTGAACTCCCAGTGGAGGTTTTTTTTCCCCAGAAAAAGTAAGCAGCTCTTTTTATAGCTCATGATCCTATTACTTCTAATGACAACAACAGATGACTGTTTTAAAACTGAAAAGAAATATATTAATCCAATTTTCAGCTTTTCAGCATGTGGTACTGTCTGCTAATTTTCACAAAAGCGAAGACTGA